ATTTGGACAGGAGCATCTTGTTGACCAGTTAAAGGTCTTGGTGGAACGACAGGGGTGGAAACAACTGGGGTTTGAATGACCTGAGGGTTGGGAGGATGACTGTGATCCAAGTTATGCTGGGAAGGATCATCTGCAGGAGGACGAGAGAGAGATGCTGAAGGTCTCGACCTGTAGGGCGATCTCGATCTATGAGCAGAGTGGGATGAATATCGATCTGTCGGAATAGCTCGCCGGAGTCAGCCATGGCAAGGATGGTGGATAAGCCCCATACAGATACCTCATCTGTCGTTGATCCCAAGACAGAGGTGGTGGCAGGGGTAAGAAGACTCGCGAGGATCGACTTCTGGACCGTGGCCATCTCGGAGACAAAGCGGCAGCATGTCTTTGAGAGGAGCCCGCGTAATCTTGGTTGTCGATACCGACAGATTGACTGTGCAGACGTGGAGGGTGACGCTGCACGTCGCATGAAGCATATCGGTGCCGACGTGGATCGATGTCGGGAGCTTCCGATACCGTCGATGACGGGGAAGGAGACGGAGAAGGCTCTGTATCCATTTGATTACTTAGGAGCTCTACCGTTTCGATGTCAGAGTAAGGATGCTCCATTTGGTGAACAGGGGAGTCCAAGACATGGATGGTCGGTATCGGTGGAGGAACTTGGGCCTCCGGTATCAATACAGTCGTTGGAGCGGGAGGCACTTTAAGGGCATCACCAGGTGCAGCCACCGCTACTTTCCTCTTCTTTGCCGCCTTAAGGGGTTTGGAAGAGCTCTTCTTTGCGGACTTTTGCTCCCTACTTGGCCTGGACTTCTTTTTCACCGGCGTGGAAGCGGAGGATTGAACCTTCAATCCCGGAGGCTTCGGTGTCAGTTGGCCGATATCAGAGGCAGGGCTCGAGGCCGGAGCCGTGGAATGTCGTTGACCTGATTCTAGCAGGGCCACTTTAAGGCGTGCAGCTCGGTTTTTTCGGGTCTGGTTTGAAAAGCGAGCACAGTGGCAACAGGATTCAGGTCGATGAGACTCTCCGAGACAAAGTATGCAAAGGGTATGACGGTCAGGAGGAGCAAGTTTACTACTGCAACCCTTGCACCTATTAAAAAAGCCCCACTTCTTCTCCATAAAAACCAAAATGAAGAAGAAAGAAGGGATGGGGGGGGTAGCCCGAAGGCCCGACTGAGGTAAAGCGGCAACCTCCCCTTCAGCAGAAACTAAAAGGGTTTTTTAAAAAGTTTTTTGAAAGAACAACGGAAAAAAGGAATAAACTGAGGAAAAAATCCAAAGAGCCAT